ATCAGTGTTGAACATGTGATGAAGATGAAGTTCATCATCGAGCTTCTCTAGAACAGTTCACACTGTTGTGATGTCATCAGACTGTGTTGAGATATCATTAGTTTGAGTCGTGATGTCAGCGCTCTGTCTCACCTGACAGGAAGAAGAGGACGATGATGAAGGTTTGAGGCGATGGACAGCAGAGAGACGAGACGGCCGCCATGCTGTGTCTGTGTGTGTGTGTGTGTGTGTGTGTGTGTGTGTGTATTCATTGTCTAGTTAGACACAGTGTGAGTCTGTGATGGAGCTGTGTGTGTGGGGTCATTGAGGGAGGGGAGAGAGACACTGTGTTTCTCTGTGTGTGTGTGTGTGTGTTTTGGTTCAATACCATCATTGTGAGGACTTTTTGGTCAATCCTCTCTTTTTCAAAAAACTGTTTTAGGGTTAGAATCCGGTTTAGGTTCGATTTATGTTTAGGTTTAAGTTTAGGTTCAGGTTGGGGTTAGGGTTAGATATTTAGTTGTGATGGTGAAGGTTAGAGCGAGGGGTTAGGGAATGTTTTATGCTAATAAGTGTCCTCACTTCAACATAGACACTTATATTAACAAAGGGGAGGGGCCAGTGACTTACCATCAAACTTATGAAAGTGGACGACCCGTTGACGAAGTGTGACATCATCCAACAAAACACTGCAACGGCCAATCACACGATCACAGATTTCTACTGTTTGACTGAAGGAAGGAAATAGTGAGGACAGAAGGACTTTATCTGTCTGTTACACACACACACACACACACAGACACACACACACACACACACACACACACACACACACAGGGTCTGACTGTGTGGAGATGTCGCTGCCTCACAGTCGACTCATTATTCACATCAAATATTTCTTCTCTTCAGTTTTTTCTTTGAAAACTATCAAACAGGCTTTTGATGGGAAAATAAAATAATTTGACCACGTTTCAACTTTTCTACCTGTGAGAAGAAGTGACAGAGTCTCCATCAGCTCCGGTTGAAGAGTGAAGCTGATCTGAGATCAGTTCTTAACAACCAGAGTTAATCTCCAATGTTCAGCTGCAAACTTTAAAACATGAAGAACTCGGAACAGTTTGTTACAGCAGTAGCTCTTCGGGTGCAGGAAGCAGAGGATCATGGGTAATATCCAGCTCAACACATTGATTGATTGACTTTACATGAAAACACTTCGTCAGACACAGAGACCCACAGAGTTCATCCTGTGTGGCTGCAGGGGGCGCTGTTCATCAGTGACAGTGATGCTTTAAAATAGATTTTTGTATTAAATACTATCA